TCAGTGCTAAGTTCTTGTGGCCCTTTCTTACAATCCAGGGAAATGATGATTGCCACTTTGGGGTCAGGAAGCAATTGTTCTCCAGGCCAGTTTGGCCAGGGATCCTGGAGGGTGGGTTTTCTGTTTTCCCCTCTTCTGGGGATACAGCAGGGGTCACGGGGGGGGGGGCGTATTTTTGAATTTCCTGCATTGTGCAGGGGGTTGGACTAGATGACCCTGGAGGTCTCTTCCAACTTTATGATTCTATGAATCTATTCTAAGGTTAGTATTGTCTATTGTGACTGGAGTGGCAGTGTTTTTCCAAGGTCTCAGACAGAGGTCATTCATAACACCTATTACCTGATTCTTCTGACTGGAGATGCTGGCAATTGAACCTGGGACTTTCTGCATGCCAAGCTGGTGTTCTACCACTGAGCCACAGGGATAATGGGTTCAAATGTCTGCTCAGCTATGAAACTCACTTGGTGATCTTGGGCATGCTTCCTGGCCCAATATACCTCACAGGATTGCTGTGACAGCAGTGGGGAATAACATATTATATACTGCTTTGAGCTACTTGGAGGAAGAGCAGTAATATCAATGCAAAAGTGATAAATAATAGCCAGCCTTGATTAAAGGGAAGAGGAATGCTCATATGTCTCAGATGCCCCTTCCTATAGGATTAGGGTGGGTGACAGTTAAGACATAAATATACATTAAAGGTTATTAAAAAATGTATATTAGGAAAAACGACTTCTGCAACCAAAGCCCTATACCAGCTTGGCTCAGCCACTACGAGCAAACTGAAATAGAAGAAGAAGAGATTGGATTTAAACCCCGCCCTTCACTCGGAGTCTCAGAGCGGCTTACAAACTCCTTTCCCTTCCCCTCCCCACAACAGACACCCTGTGAGGTGGGTGCGGCTGAGAGAACTCTGACACAAACTGCTCTTTTGCAAGGACAGCTGTGCCAGAGCTTGTGACTGACCCAAGGTCACATCAGCAGGTGCAAGTGGAGGAGTGAGGAATCAAACTCGGTTCTCCCAGATTAGAGTCCGCACACTCAACCACTACACCAAACTGGCTCTCCGTTTGAGAAGGGTATGAACACCAGTTGCAGGATGTCAGGGCCAGTCTGTGTTTCAAGATAGTGGAACTTTGCCATTTTAAAGGGGTGTGTGGTGTATGAACAGGTTTGCATTTGTCTTCTAAGGGACTTGGCATCTCAGAACAAGGCTGCAATGATCAGTTTACTGTACAGAATGTACAGCAAGTGCAATGTGGGCAAAGCGGTATGCTAATTGTGCTTGGCAGGGGTCAGGAAAGGAGCTTCAACTTCTGCTTAATTTTGTTCGCATCTCATTAGGGTCAGCCTGCATCAGCATTTAAGAAACATAGCACACCAAGGTTAATTTTTTTCCCCATTTACGAGAAGCTACATTTTTATCTTACTAAATGCTTGCCAAGCAGGCAGGGGTACAGGGCAGTTTAAGTTCCTCTCTTATCCACTCCCCTCCGCACACAGTACAGTGTCTGGGGTGGCTTATTTTTCTGCCAGATGGTAGATGAGCATGAACAGCAGGAGGTAAGTTGGAAGAGGGGGACTAAGGGAAGGCTGCTGTGTGCATCAGCTTTTCCCTGTCTCTTGCATGCACATGCCCCTGCCTCATGGCCTATACTGAGTCCAAGATAGTTCATGATCTGTCTTGTCTTCCTCAGTGGTTATGCATACAACTGTGTACGGTTTCTAGGTCTGTGTTGGATTGTCTACATTTTGCATATGCAAGGTGAGGAAAACAGCAGCTGTTTGTATGGAGCACACAAATGCATCACCAGTTCATTGCTTCTGACATCCCCCGTGTTCAAATGTGGCAAAGAGGTAGAAGTGAAGATTTTAAATATGTGACTCTGACCAAGTATCTGAGAATTGGTTCTGTCTCCTGTGAAGTGATATGAAATTCTCTCTGGGAAGATGGAGGCTTAGTAGAGGAAACACTCAATCTGCAGTCTTCATGGAAATTACTGGGAAGGCAGAGCAAAGTGAGATTGTTTGTTTTGATTCCAGTGGTGGTGGGGAAGTGTTTGGTTGTGATAGCTGTCAGCTGTTTCTTGTGCACTTAAGGATAAACTTTAATGTCAGTAAATATGGGTCCAGCTACAAGTCACGTGACTCACAGGGTGTGATGTAAAGCATAAAAGAGTGTTGCACCTTCCTTTTAGCATTTCACCCACAGTCTCTTTCCCAGCTAGACCAGCTTTCACAAGA